TTTTGATACAAAGCGACCTGGCCTCGCTGCACACGCCTTCCAAAAGTCTACACGGTTTAGGGTTTAGGGTTTAGGGTTTAGGGTTTAGGATTTAGGGTTTAGGGTTTAGGATTTAGGGTTTAGGGTTTAGGGTTTAGGTTAAGGGCAATTGTAAGCCATGTAGAACGAGTACTTCTAAGCCCCCTTTGAACTTAGGGGATTGTGTTCTATGTCCACTTCTAACTGGGCTATGAGCAGCCTGAAGTTCGGGTTCCGAACCTCCAAGCAACCTGCAACACTGAACCGGAAAATGTCAAACCCCAAGCCCCCAAATCCCTAAATCCATTTTACGGTTTAGGGTTTAGGGGTTTGGGGTTTAGGGTTTAGGGTTTACGGCTTAGCGTTTAAGGGTCTAGGGTTCAGGGTTTAGGGGTTAGGGTTTTAGGGGAGTAGGGTTAGGGGTTTAGACATAAGCCCCAGTCTCGGTCTCCTCTGCAACAGCGAATCTGACTTCCATCAGTTTAGACCTTAGATTTCAAGGTTCCTAATCCCTCAGCCCTAAAGCCCCGAGAGCCCCTAAACCCTAAGCCCCTAAACCCTTACCCCCTACGCCCCTAACCCCCTAAACCCCTAAACCATAAAACTCTAAATCCTAAATCCTACCGCCTACACCCTAAACCCATAAGCCCCTAAGCCCTAAACCCCTAAGCCCCTACCTAAATCCCAAGCCCCCAAACCCTAAACCCAAGTCTCAGGGATGCTCAGGGCTTAGGGCTAAGGGCTTCGCATTGACGGTTTAGGATTTTAAGGTTTAGGGCCTATTGGGTTTAGAGTTGAGGATAGGGCTTGAAATTTCAACCTTGAGACGTTTCCTTGCTCCAGACACGGCTTGCTGCACAGGAAGGTCTGTCACATCCAAGACAAGTCCATTGGTCAGTTTCCAGAACGGGAGAACCACATGGAGGTCTTTGTCATAATGTTCACAACTGGCAGCAGCGAGCTTCCACCTTCTAATGACACCTTGCAGTGAGGGAGAGTAATTACTCCCCAGCGCCTCATGAAAATCAGAGAGGGGGAATAAGATTGAGAGAATCATTCGGAAATTGGGTAAGCCCAGCCCCAGGCTTGACACGGGTATGCGTGGGGTTCTGGGCAAGCAGTGAGAAGGTCTCATACTTATACTTCAGCAACTTTAGGGTTTAGGGTTTAGGGCCTAGGGTTTAGGGATTAGGGTTTGGGGCTTAGTGCGCCCTAGAATTCACAGGCTAGTGGTCTTTCCATGTATGACTTCCTCCATCGTAAACATACGTACTCCGAAAAGACAACCTCTATAGCATATATACAGAGATAACACAGAACCAGACCACCAGCTTCTATTACCCATACCTCGGCCTATCCCCGGCCACAATCTAAGCCCTAAACCTAAACCCTGAAACCCTAAACGCCCTAAACCCTAAAACCCTGAACCTTAGACCCTAAACACCAAACCCTAAACCCTGAAACCCTAAACCCCTAAAACCCTAAAACCTTAAAACCCCAAAGCCTAAAACCCTAAAACCCTGAACCCTGAACACCAAACCCTAAACCCTAAAACCCTGAACCCTAAACCAGAAACACCAAACCCTAAACCCTGAAACCCTAAAACCCTAAACCCTAAAACCCTCAACCATAAAACCCTAAACACCAAACCCTAAACTCTAAAACCTTGGAACCCCAAAAACCTAAACAGTGGCAGAACTACTCTGAACAAAGGGGCCCCCCTGAGCATGGCAGGCTGCAAGAAAGGGCTCGATTCTATTTTCCGTTACATCTTATGCAGGTTTTAAGGTTTTGGTTTAGGATTTCGGGTCTGGGATTTAGGGTTTAGGGATTAAGGGTTTTAGGGTTTTAGGGTTCAGGGTTTTTAGGGTTTTAAGGTTTTAGAGTTTAGTGTTCTGGGTTTGAGGATCAGGCTAAGTATTTCATCATACATCCCAAATTTCTGAGACCGAACCCTAAGTCCGTAATCCTCAACCCTAATTGTGAACTGTAACCCAAACTCCGAGGTTGAACCTGCTACAGCCGCCAGGTGTAATGGCGTAGCCTTTCATCTTTTCGCACCCGGATTCGGCTTGCTTTGCTTTTTTGTTTTCCCGGAGTTTAGGCTCTGTAGGGTTGATGGTTTAGGGTTTAGGTTCGGGTTCGGGGTTGAGGGTTCAGGCTCAGGGTGCCACTTTTGGATTGGGATTCAGGGTGTGACCTAACAAAAGTACGGGTAATGTTGCAGGGTAGAGGGTTCACATGGGTGCCACTACAGAGCTGCTCCGTACATGTAAAGGTGTAGATGCGGCGATTTGGGGGATAATGGGGTTCACGTAAAGGACATGGACATGTAGATCCACATGTCACCTCCTTCGTAATTATAACATAGTAGTACGACTTGACACAAGGTATCAATAGTAGATCGTCCTGCAACATGCAGGAGGTTGTTCTGAAAACATCCCATGTAGACCATATCTAAAGTTCGGCCACCCTGCTGTCAGACTTTGAGACTCATAAAGCACAACGTCATTAATGGCGAACTGTGTTATTATTCGGGTTCTCGAGGAAAGTATACTTGCTACGTCCCGCTGACGCTCCAAGTGGGACCAAACAGACATTGCAAGGAATGATGGAAGAATTCACTCTCTGATGGTTAGTACAATATGTTCTGCTATCGTCGGCTAAGACCAGGAAGTTGTTTAGGCGGGTAGACAACCCAACCGTTGGCAGTTGGGTTGCTGGTAGGGCAAATCTAGTGTTGTAAAGGTTCTGAAGCACGCTGCAAGAGCACCCTTTAGACGGGGCGTGGAGTTCCGCAAATGCCTAGCAAAGGCATCACCCAAGGATCCAAGCCCCCCAAATCGGTGTGTGTTTCTTGTAAATCCTAAATGATACGATATCTCAATGGGAGTGGACACCTGAACCCCAAATCATTTCGGTACTTGGATGCTCGGCGTCTATCCATGCGCTCATTATACCCATCGTCCCAACTCTCCGAATTCTTCTTATGGCCAATGTGGGAATCATGCTTCTTGGGAACCAATGAATACCCTATAACCCCTATACAGCCCCTATATATATCCCTAGTATAGAGGTCCATGCAGGTGGGTTCGCTAGCAGAGGCTGACACCCCAACAACTATGAAATCTGAGTGATCAGGACCTGAAACCCCATTAGGGTACTTGGAGCCTTAGGGCTAAATGGGAGTTTCTCAATATGCGTGGGGCCCCATTGGTACATATATATATATATATACACATGAACCTATGAGCCCTGGACCATAGTTTTCACTGCTGACGTATTTGTTGTAGTTTCAGGGTTTAAGGTTCAGGGTTAAGAGCCAACATAAACAAAGGCATCCCATCTAAATCGCCTTCGAACCAACGCCCAGCACAGAAGTAGGGATATCCCCAGAACCCTGAACACTTGAACCCTTAAAGCCCTAAACCCCGAGCCTTGAAACCCTAAACAGAAATCTCAAGCCCTTCTTTGGTGTGGCCTGCGAGTCATTGTTAGGGTTTAGGATTCAGAATTTTGGGTTTAGGCCTTAGGATTTGGGATTTGGGGGTTTAGAAATCAAGCCTAGGATTCAGAATTTCGGGTTTAGGCCTCAGGATTTGGGATTTGGGGGTTTAGAAATCAAGCTTTAAAAGCAAGTAATGCATGCTCAGACTGCGGCCCCGTCTGCGGCTTTGATGTCCACCTGTGTGGGCAAATCTACTAGGATGCGCACGCTACTGTAAGTCTAGTGTAAGTCGGCAATGGCAGCTAGAATTCCTGATTGGTCTTTGAGGTTTACTAAACTCGTCTTACATCAGATGATAGATATACTTGTGGCTGGAATATTCGCAATAGATTGTCAACTGGGAATACTTTGTTTTAGGGGGGTTCAAACTTGAACCCTAAACCTGAAACCCCTACACCCTGAACCCTAAATGGGTTTCAGGCTTACTGGTGGAACCCGACAGTCCTCCCCGTAGTCTCCATTGAGGCAATTTGAGTATGATCCTAGCAACGTCCCCTTTGCAAAACAACTTCACATGAGTTGACGAAAGCCTCAATACAAAACCCACACACACCCGACCTCAAAGGCAAGCGCTGCGGACAAACCATCACTCATCCTCCTGAAGCTGTCTAAGTCTATAGTCACCCTGAATAGAACATGGGGTATATGGGGATCTAATTATAATATACCCAAAACCATCTTCTATCTACTTAAGGGGGACTCTAAGCCCTCACAAGTTTCGAATGAAGACCTGTTCGTAACAAACTTAAGAGTCGTGGAGTTGGCCAGATAAGCACCAGCGCTGAGACAAATCAATCTCGCCTTTTGAGCGAGATCGTCCCTAAACGCTAAAGCCTAAACTCGCCCACCCGAAGCCCTGTAGTCACCACCAGCATGTTTGCTGCCACAGCTTCTACCCTAAGGGTCCAAGTGCTTAATGATCATCACATACTCTCCCCTAAGCCTGTGCTAGACATACGAGGGCCAAGGCCCTGTAGTACCCAAAGCCCTAAACCCTAAACCTAAATATTGAACACTTGGACCCTCCGGGATATACCTCGGGTATTGCCTGCCAACCTAACTCTGTACAACTCTGATCTTGGCCTTTGGAACCCTTTGAAACATTTTAGTAGATATAGGGTCCTTATGAAATCCATTAGGGAAAATATTTAAGTATCCCAAAGGCCAACTCAGTGATTGATTTACAAGTCCACCTGCATAAGAGCTTCACAAGTCGCAAGGCATGCCCTGATCCTTTGGAGGATCTGGAAATGGGCTTAGGGTTTAGGGTCTAGGGCTTATTAGATCCCCCTTAGGATTTCCGGACACTGCATTTTTGATTATAGGGTACCAAGATGGGGGTTCTGCTTTTTCAGATCCTCCCAGTGTTCTGGGTGATGATGCTGCGCGAGCTTTTGCAAAAAGCCAGTGCAGCCACATACAAAATTACAACTTGGCCTTCATAAGCTGTCAACCCCTCAGTGCGGCTGCCTTCCTATAGACAACCTGGGACGAGACGCTTTGTTCTTCGACAGTACTCCCGGTACTCATCGCCAAACTGCTGGATCATCATCTCCTCCTCATATTCGATCCGAATGAAATACAAAATTGCGAAAGAGCATACAGGGGCGAACCCCGCGATCCAGTTGTGCACTAGCAGAGGCTGTACCGCGTTAATGATCCACAAAGACGTGTACATGGGATGGCGTACTTTGCTGTACACGCCTGACGTAGTCAGTGTGTGATCCTCTCTGAGTTCTGTCGTAGGACTCCAATTGCGACCAAGGTCTGCATGGCTCCGCCAGAAGAGATACAAGGCAGCTACAGTTACCACGCTGCCAAACACAACCGGTAACAGCCCAAGATCACCGAAGTCAGCAAAGCGTGGAAAGCCGGTGATGAGGAATGCAGCAGGGAACAGGAACATGCCGGCAGAAACACAAAAAAGCAGTGCTTTCTCTTTGGAGACGTGGAACTTTGAGACTATAGTGTTCGACTGCTGCTCTTTCTCGAAAGGCCGGCGGATTATGTTTAAGGCCATGACAGTCATCAGCCAGACGACTGAGCCTGCGCCAATCACCTTCACGCGCATCACCACTCCAGCAACGACGAACACAAAGAGTAGCACATTGGGAATGCTCCACGCGCAGTGTGTATAGGCTTTTGATTCTGTACCATCCGCCTTCTCCAGAAGGGGTAATCCCTGCTCATTTCCAGCCATGGCTCTGGTATTGGGTGGACCCCTCACCCTGTAATAGTGGCTAGAAGGGATAATAAGGATTATATGAGGGTGCTGTCATATTCCTACTATACCCCTATTGCAGGGTGGGGGCGGGGGTCCTCCTTAGCTATGCACTTTAAGGCCTACTCCACGGCTCTGAAAACCCTAAAGCCAGCACATAGGAAGTATGGGAGTTTCCTAAAATTAGGGGTACCCTTTTTGGGGGTCCCCATAATAAGGACTATAGTATTTTGGGGTCTATATTGGGGTCCCCTTATTTTGGGAAATTACCGTATCAACTGGAGTCGTCATTCGTTTAGGTGTTTTTAGGGTTCAGGTTTAGGGTTTAGGGTTTAGGTGGCCAACCCCATGAAAGCAGACTGTCTTGGAACTCAGATGAGCCATGATCTAAGCTCCTATGATATCCCTTTCTAAGCCCCATAATAGTCCCCTATAACTATAATCCCTTCTATAGCCCCATTTAAAGAGTTTAGACTACAGCTCAGATAAAACTGGACACCAACAGATATGTGGGGCTCCATCTGACACAGTGCAAGAGGAAACAACTAAGAATAGAACAGGCTTACATGCATAGTATACGCGTATCTTGCTGCTGGTTGCTCTTGGTTTTAGGTACTTGGATCCTGGGTGCCCAGTGCATGCACTCTAGATTCACCTTTCAACTTTCACAGGTAAACAACAAGTGCAGCTCAAGTAAGCGGATCCCAACCCAGACTCCGTCTTAATGAGGTTAGCCACTACGTGGCACTTAGGACTCCTACTGAGGGTAAACCCTTCGGTACCTATAGCAGGAGTATAAGGGAATCCCAAACATTTGAGGGTCTAAGGTCCAAGCTAAGTCCCAAGCAGGCCAGAGGGTCCCGTCCCAGTACCCTAAACCCTAAACCCTAAGCCCTAAACCCTAAACCCTAAAACCTAAACCCCTAAACCCTAAACCCTAAACCTTCAACCCAGCATTCCCGGAGCCATAACCTGAATGGTTGCAGGGGGCCTTGAACCCTAAACCTTGGGTAGCCCCACCCAGTAACAGTCTATATTAGGGGTCCTATTAAGGGCTATATTAGGGGTCCTATTAAGGGCTTAGGGTTTAGAAGTTTATGGTTTAGGGTTTGGGGGTTTACGGTTTAGGGTTTAGGGGTCCTATTCAAGGATATATATATATATATAACCATATTATAGCTATTATCCAACTGTTACTGAGGGGGGGCAGTACCCAAGGTTTAGGGTTTGGGGGGGTTTAGGGTTTAAGCTCTTTTTCCCCCAAATTGCCATCCTCGAGTTGGACAGCCGACCTCAGTAGAAA